AATAAAAAATCACCCAAGGGCTGGGGATGATGTGGCTCAAGAGGTAGCGCGCTCACCTGTCTTGCGTGGGGCCCGGGTTGGATCCTCAGCACCACATACAAAGATGTTGTGTCTGCTGAAAACCAAAAAATGAATAAGAGATTCATTAAAATTAAAAAATTTTTAAGAGATTCTTTCTCTCTTAAAAAAAAAAAAATCACCCGTAATCCCATCATCTATAGATCGTTAACTAGTACTGTCATTTTGTGATAGCCCAATTATTTGTAGCTTTTTTCCCCCTTTGTATTAATGTAAGTGTTCTTCTACAGGGTATTTTTGTGTTTTGTTTTTAACAAAACTTCAGAGTTTAGCACTTTTTAAAAGTGCCAAGGCCTTATCACATCTGGTATTCATTATCATTTGTTTTCAGATTTTGGCCATATGTCTGCAGTACACATGCAAAAAATTTAGGAACATTGAGAATAACAGACCTTTTTTTTTTTTTTTTTCATGGATGTACCGCTGCCCATTGTTTGAGAAACCCTGCTTTCTTTCTTCAGTCAGTGTTAGGGGTATCTACTTTAGAAGTATCTAATTTCTTACACCAATACTATGGTACCTTCTGGGAGCAAGTAGATGATTGTAGCAAGGCAGTCTATCCCTAATGCTGAAAAGAGAGATCAACAGCTGTAACAGCCTGGTGTAGGGGGTTGGAGATAGAACTGGCCTTAATTTGAAGAGAACAAAAGGTAGAGGTGAAAAGGTACTGAGGACCAAGAGTTGAAGAATGTATAATGGAGGTGACAGTATAGAAAAGTCCACTCACATGTGTGTGAGAATGTTTAGAATTTAAATACAGGTGAAGCTTTTTATATATTATCAATATATTTATATATGCCTACCATGTAAAAAGGGACAGTGTTATACTCATACAATAAATATTTTAAAAATCTCTCCTTTTATTGTGTTAATCTTTAAATTCATTCATCCATTCATTCATTCATTCATCTTGGAAGAGCTGGGGATCAAATCCAGGGAAGGCCTATAAACTCAGTCTCTATTTTTAAAAAAATATCCTCTTCACCTTTGTATATACATGAGTGTGGTTTGTATCTCAGGCATTTTTAAACCCTGGTGCACTGTGGTACCAACTTGTAGAATATTTAACATTCTTGCCCAAGTGATTTGATCTTTTGTTCAAGGCCCAGCCAAAACAACAAAAGTAAAAACCCAAAACAACACCCCACCCCCCACTAGTGGGGTGTTTTGGGTTTCTTCCAGGGGCACACTACAAATGTACCCTTAGAAGAAAAGTAACAAAGCAGTAAGAACCAAAGTTCACAGCCAAGTGAATAAGAATAGAAGAAAATTCAAATATGAGAAAATTAAAAGAAAAATGAAAAGTTGTAGCTTTATGAAATGAATTTGACTTTCCTTCTAGTCTTTAAGAATTATGCTCCAAAACACTCTTCTAGAAAGAGGTACCTCTTAATTCTCAAGTGAAAATAAGTGTGTGTGTGTGTATTTTATATATATATTTATTTTATTTATTTTTTTTTTTTGCAGTTGTAGATGAACAGAATGCCTTTATTTTTTTAATGTGATGCTAAGGATCAAACCCAGTACCTCACACATTCTAGGCAAGCACTCTGCCACTGAGCTGCAGCCCTACCCCAATTAAATATATTTCATTCATTCAACAGTATTTGCTTGTATATATACAGTGTCAAACAAAATAGAATACTAATATAGTAGAGAAATAGTTATATACTTTTAATGTTCTCTTCCTACACAGGAAGATGATAAGACCAGAAGATACTGTGGTGGAACAAGCCAAGGCCAATGCCTCTCTTTGGGAGGCCAGATTAGAAATCACTGAACTCTCTAGGATTGAGTATCGTGATACTTCTCGGAGACTGGCCAAAAGTAATGAGGACTTAAAGAAACTGCAGTACAAAATGGAAAAAGATACCATGTCCATATTAAGCTACCTGAAGAAGCAGGATCAGGAAAAAGATAATATGGTAGGTAGATAGAAAGCCTCCTGAGCTTCATATAATTCCTCTGTGATTATATGTTTCAAGGATTTTAATATTTTGAAATTGTACATTGTTAAGACATTACAGTGAGCTTTTTAAAAAATATATATATTTTTTTTTACTCGGAAAATTATATTTTTATTTGTAGGAAACCCATCTCCTCTTACAGACATATAAACATTTCCTAATCATCTAATATTTATGATGCTATAACTCTTGGGTAGTTTATAAAGAACAGAAAATTATTTCTTTCACTTTTTGGAGGCTGGAGTTCAAGATCCAGATGCTAATGGGTATGGCTTTCCAGTGGGGGCTTGGTTTCTTCAAAGATGGTGCCGTGAAGCCAGGTTCCCTGAAGGAGAACACTCTGTTTTAGGACAGCAGAAGGAGGAAAGAAAGCTGGTAGAACTCTGCATGAAGCCATTTCATTAGGATCTCAATTCCATTCTGGAGAAAAGAAGCTCTTATGATCTAAGCATCAAAAAAAATATATATTTTTTTATTGTTTTCTTATATTTTCTTTTTTTTATTTATTTTTTATTTTTTTTATTGGTTGTTCACAACATTACAAAGCTCTTGACATATCATACTTCGAACAATAGTTTCAAGTGAGTTATGAACTCCCATTTTTACCCCAAATAAAAATATATTTTAATATTTCTAAATTTGTTCTAATTAGGTGTATAATGCAGTAGAATACATTTTGTTTGATACATCATATATAAATGGAGTATAACTTCTCATTTGTCTGGTTGTACATGATGTAGAGCTACACAGGTCATGTACACATATGCATATAGGGTAATGTCCAATTTATTCTACTATCATTGCTACCCCCATACCCCCTCCCCTTCCTTCACTCCCTTCTGTCTAGTCCAAAATACCTCTATTCTTCCCCCACTTCTTATTGTGAATTAGCATTCACATATCAAGAAAATATTCTGCCTTTGGTTCTTTGGGATTGGTTTATTTTGCTTAGCATAATATTCTCCAGTTCCATCCATTTACTGGCAAATGTCATAATTTCATTCTTCTTTAAGGCTGATTAATATTCCATTGTGTATATATACCACAATTTCTTTATCCATTCATTTGATGAAGGGCACCTTGGTTGGTTCCATAGTTTAGCTATAGTAAATTGAGCTGCTATAAACACTGATGTGGCTGTATCACTGTAGTATGCTGAATTTAAGTCCTTTGAGTATAAACCAAAGTGGGATGACTGGGTCAAATGGTGGTTCCATCCCAAGTTTTCTTGGGAATCTTCATACTGCTTTCCACAGTGGTTTCACCAACTTGCAGTCCCACCAGCAATGTATGAGTGTACCTTTTACCCCACATCCTCACCAACATTTATTGTTGCTTGTATTCTTAATGATTGCCATTCTGACTAGAATGAGATAGAATCTCAGTGTAGTTTTGATTTGAATTTCTCTAATTGCTAGAGATGTTGAACATTTTTTCATATATTTTTTGATCAATTGTATTTCTTAACTCTCTTTGAAACAAAACTTTTTCAGAGTGGTTTTACTGTTATTAATATTTATTTTGAATTCTTGACTCTTGTTTTCTTGTCTCAAACAAATAGAAAGTGATAACCACAAGGGAGCATTATGAACACTTCATTTTGCACTGGAGAATGGAACACAAGAGCATTTTACTTTTGGCCACATCCCAAACCCTTTGTAAATTTTATTTTGGGAGAGGGTCTCACTAAGTTACCCAGGCTGACCTTGATTGCCATCCTCCTGCCTTCCAAGTAGCTGGGATTACAGGCATACAATACCACACCCAATATGATCTCTGTGTTTTGATGCTGATATTTAGTTTTATTGATTTGTTAAAATTCACTGATAATCCATGATAGATTATAAACCCAGCAAATCTCTCTCTCTCTCTCTCTCTCTCTCTCTCTCTCTCTCTCTCTCTCTGTGCCACTTGAATCTTTTATCTTATTATACTTTATTGAAGTGTTGAGAGTAAAGCTATCATTTTAGATCTGAAAGAAAAAGGGAGAGAATTAAGATTATGGAGCCACTATTTTGTGCCAGGCACTATGCTGGCTACTAATTATCTCCTTTAATTCTTTTAATAACCACATGTAGCCAAAATATTGTTATGTCCATTATATAGACAAAGAAATTGGCTCTCAGGACAGGTAAGTTGCCCAAGTCACAGAGCTAGTAGGCATTAAAGGTGGCACTTAGGTGTAACTACAAATTTTCTTTCTGCCTCTATAAACTGCTTGGAAACCCAAGGAAATTTCCACTGTGTTGAGAATGTAAGCTTCCTTTACATAATATTTTTGTAGTTTTTCTATTTGTGTATGCATACCGATAAATAGGACATTCTATAGTCATTAAAATGTATATAAATAGTATCATATTGTACAGATCTTTTGCAACTTTTTCAGACAGTTCTTGATGTGTTGCCCAGGCTGTTGGTAAACTCCAGGCTCCTCCTGCCTCAGCCTCCTCAGTATCTAGGACTATAGTTGCATGCCACCAAGCCTGACTCAGCATCTTGTTTTTTTTTTTTTTTTACTCAACATTGTTATTGTGATATATTCACAAAAATCACATGATTCAGTTTATTTTCTTAAAATTTATTAATAGGTATATTCTATTTTTTTCATTCATTTTAACTGCTTTATAATATACTATTAAATAAACCAAGATTTATGTTTATCCCCCATTTGGTTAGTTAAACTCCCATTTTTTTCACTAGTATAATAAACATCACTGTTACAATGAACATTCCTGTATATGTCTGCCTGAGACCACATGTGGGGGATTCTTTAGACTAGATACCAGGAAGTAAGATTTTAAATTATGGGGTAAACTCAGCTTCAATTTCACAAGAGTTTTTTAATTTTGTGAGCCAGATGCCATGGCACAAACCGTGAGAAACTAATGTGACTCCATTTTTAAAAAATAAATAACAGCAGCTTCTACCTCAAGTCCTGTCCTAAGGAAGGGGGCGTGACCCTTGTCCTTGGAAAAACCCACAGAACACTCCTAAATACATACCCACCCTGCTGAGTTGTTTGTAAATAACAGGAGAGGTCTGCTGTGCCAGGTGTCCCTGACTCAGTTAGGCTAGGTGAGGACCCATGGCAACCCCCTAGCAACCTCCAATCAGCATAAGACAGGGGAAATACCTGGAATCTCAGATGACCCCCAAGTAGTTTATGGTGGTTGATAACATGTTGGGAAACCATGTAGTTTAGCACGTACACTCCTCATGGCCTAAACCAATCAGTTCAAAGAAATCCCCTTCTTGTACTAGCCAATCACCCCTAACCAACTCGTTCCCGCCATTGAATGTGCTAATCAATGTTAAGAGTTGTTTGATTTTCCCGCGGTATGGAATGATTTGCTGTGCGGTGTTGTGAAGCATAGAGTATCCCCCCCAAAAAAACCTATAAAATCTCACTGAACAAAGGACCAGGACTCACTCCCTGGGACCGCTGCGTCCGGAGCGTTTGTGAGTCCAGGCTCGAGCTTGCAATAAAGACTCTTGTGTGCTTGCATCGGATTCGGCTCTTAGAGGTCTATTGGGGTCCCACAAATCTGGCATAACACCTGTAATCCCAGCAATTTTAGGCTTAAGGTAGGAGGTTCACAAGATTAAGGCCCATTTAGGCAATTTAGCAAGACTTGGTCTCAAAAATTTTTTTAAAAAGCCTGATGGGTGGGACTGGGGTTGTGGCTCAGTGGTAACACACTTGCCTAGCATGCCTGAGACAAATAAATAAAAATAAAGATTCAACTGCTACACCCCTGTAACCTCAGGGTCTGAAGAAGCTAAGGCAGGAGAATTGCAAATTCAAGGACAGCTTCATCAATTTATCAAGGCCCTAAGCAATTTACTGAGACTGTGTCTCTAAATAAAAAATAAGGGCTGGGGTTGTAGCTCAGTGTTTGAGCGCTTGACTAGCACGTGCGAGGGTTTGATCCTCAGCGCCACATAAAAATAAATAAAAGGTATTGTGTCCAACTATAACTAAAAAAATAAATCTTAAAATAATAAATAAAAAGGACTAGGGATGTATCTCAGTGGTTAAGCCCTCCTGAATTCAATCCCTGGTACCAAAAAAAAAAAAAAAAAAAAGGATTGGAATAAAGCTCAGAGGGAGAATTCTCGGTTCAACCCCCAGTACCACACATGAAAAATTATTTTACCCAGGGACTTTGCATGCTAGGTAAATGCTCTACCACTGAGCTACACCTCCAGCCCCCACAAAGGATTAAATCTGAGCTCCAGAGGTGTTATACCAATTTATATTGTCACAAATGATGTATTACCCACATATGACTCAACCCTTGGTATTGTATTTAATTATTCTATCATTGTTGTTGTAATTTGTATTTTCCTTACAACTATTCATCTTGGACATCTTTTATATGTTCCTTCATCCATTTTGCACACACACTGGGGATTAACTGAACTCAGGGCCTTACACATGCTAGGCGAGTACTCTACAAGTGAGCTATACCCTCAGCCCCTTCACTATTTTTTATTGTTTATGTTTTTGCTTCAGTACACGTAAATAAACCAGAGTGAAGCAGAGCAAGGCTGGCTATATAAGGATGACATACAAATTCATGTATAATTCCATAGTTTTTCAAATGACACCTTTTCAGTGATAAGACATCTTATCTCCCTGTATAAATATTAAAACCAACCCTATTCCAGCATTCTTTAGTCTTATCACTTCTTTTTCTTTGTGACATTTATTACTTTCCATCTATTAATAATGCATGTCACTTACATATTTGTCTATTGTCTCTTTTCCTAATTTGAATGAAACCTCACAGAAGAAGACAACTTGGGGCCTCTTGTTGTTGTTAAGGATTATATCACCTGAGCAACAGGGCCTAGCACATAGTAGCCATTCAGTACATTCTTTTTTGCTATGTATGAATATACTAATACTTTGAATTGTTATGAATATACTGATGTTTTTAAAAAGTTAATAGCAATAACAACTAAATTCAAGATGATATTGAAAGTACATTAGAGAAGTCAAACAACTGAACATTTACATGGATTTTATGTATTTTATTAAAGTCTAATTTTTTACGCATTTTTTTACATTCTCAGACAACTTCTGTTTTAAAAATTACTTTTTGAATAGTAGGTGTTATATACATTGTCCCCCTATAAAATATTATTCTAAAGTAAGTTTTTTAATCAGCCATACAAATAGTTTTTGAAATTAATTAATAGACACTCTTCATCCTACATTAGTTAATTAGTATTGGTTTGTATTTATCAATATCACTTACTTGTATTTTCAGATTGAGATCTGCCTCTGTATATCAGAGGCCAGCATCTTGCTGTAGCAAATGCGGTTTCTTACAATCATGGGTTCCCATTAAAACCAAAGAAACTGGGGCTGGGGATTTAACTGAATGGTAGAGCACATGCTTAGCATGCCTCAGGCCCTGGGTTCAATCCCCCAAAACAAGAATAACAATAATAAAAACAAAGAAAGTATATTGGGAAGAAGAAAAAAAATCAGATTAAATAAATATCAGTTAATTAGCTCTCCCATAGTTTCCATTTTTTTGTTTTTAAGATGAGGACTCACTATGTTGCCCAGGCACTGACCTTGAACTCCTTGGCTCAAGTAATCCTCCTGCCTCAGCCTCCCACGTAGTTAGGGCTGTAGGCGTATCTAGCTTCTTCCATAGTTAATTATTATCTATTTTGCAGTATTCTATAAATGTGATATTTTCTGAAACTCTTTATAGTATTACTTCACATTAATTATAGAAATATTAGAAATGAAATTTTTCTTATGAAATGCGTTTTGAAAACAATTTTGTCTTGAACAAAACTAGGAGATTTTCTCAAAGACTGGGTTTTTGTATTTGAGGATTTGTTGAATCAATCATAAAGTAATCTTATTAAGTGTCACACCTGTTCTATGTGACTTGGGACTGTTCCAATATATTTTTTAAATTTCTAGATTTTTCTTAAGCTGCTCTAAGATAATATTTTATAATATATTACTTCTAAATCCTCTGATTCTATAACCATATCAATGAATCTTTAGTTTAAAAAGCTACTTAGGTTCCCCACTGAAATGGACCAGCACTCCCTAGAGAAGCACTTGGAACTAATTAGAAAAAACTATTGATTCCAGGATTTAGGTAGGATGTAAAAGATAACCGTGGAATATCTTATTGTGCCAGAAAGTGAGTAAATGTTAAAGTACACAAAGGCTAACTTGAAGAGACTACAACTGGCTAAATCTGAGACAAGCAAAATAAACATTGGCAATAATAGATTGTAACTTATTGAATAAAAAAAGAATCCTAAGTCTACACTATTAACCAATACATACATTAATAAATAAGGGAGGGGCCTAGGGATGTAGCTCAGTGGTAGAGTGCTTGCTTAGCATCTGTGAGGCTCTGGGTTAGATCTTTAGCACCACCAAAAATGAAATTTTAGATAAATAATGATGGGGTGGGAATATAGCTTAATGGTAGAATACTTGCCTAGCATGTTCAAAGCCTTGAGTTTGATTCCACAGAACTGCATAACAAAAACAAAAAACACCAAACAACCAAGTAAATAAAGAAGAGGGGAAATTTTTTCTTACATAGAATGCCAATTAATTCATTTATAAGGAGTGATGAAGCTAGAAAAATCACTATTTAGAATCAGTCAAGAATTATCAGCAGACCTATAAAATTGGCCCTAATTCAATCCTTCTAAGAGGCAACTGAACACAGAAAGATACCCCAGTTATGTGAGTGCTCAGAATAAAGGCTGTGTTAGGACAACACAGAGAGGGCAGCCATAGGTAAACCAAGGAGAGCGACCATGGGAAAACCAACCTGCCAACACTTTCATCTTGGACCTCCAACTTCCAGAACTTTGAAAAATAAATTCATGTTGTTTAAATCACCTATTTTGTGATATTTTGTTATGGTACCTGCTACCATAGTTTGCTAAACTAATACAGTAGGGTTACTGGGAGGATTAATTAAAATAATCTGTTAAAAGAACTTAGAATGGTGGCTAGCATTTAATATCCAATTTAAAAAACTAGAATTATCTATGGATGCTAGAACTAGTAGGTGAAAGTTTGATGAGGAGAACACTATTTGCATAGTCTCAAAATATGTTTCCACAAATTTCTTAATAATTATAAAAGGAAAACCATAATTTTTAAATGGAGAAAACTGGCAGACATAATCTTATTCAATTGATTGTATTAACGTCATTCACCTTAGGATGGGATGTACTAAAAAGGATATATTATCACTTAGGTAGAATACGCATTTCCTAAATACATAGTAGCCATAAGGAAACATCAGAAAAGCCCAACCTTGTGCAGTGTTCTTCAAAAATACTGATATAGGTCAGACATGGTAGCACATGCCTGTAATCCCAGCTACTTGAGAGGCTGAGGCAGGAGGATTGCAATTGAGGACAGCCTGGGCAATTTAATGAGACCCTGTCTCAAAATAGAATTTCAAAAGGGCTGGGGATATAGCTTAACAGTAGAGTACCCTGGGCTCAATTTTTAGTACCATAAGAAGAAAGAAAGAAAAAGAGATGTTAGAGTCTGTAAACAAGTCAGGATGGCGCCTGGCATTTTGCCAGAGGGAGTGGTTTATGAAGTAACACCAGCGAGCCATTAAGTGTGGAGATTCCTTATTGGTTGACTGCTATATCTAGTTTATGTTAATTAGATAAGTGTGTGGAATGTATAAATACCCCTCCTGTCCTACAATAAATGGCTCCCACTCCTGCTGTATCAATGTACACAAGTTGCTTGTCACCCCCCAATTAGTTTGCTGCAGCCAGACTGCAGCAAAGAGAGGTGTACACATACCATGGAATATTATGCAATCTGAAAAAGGAAATCCTGTCATATGCTTCAACATGGTGAACCTCAAGGACATTATACTAAATCAAATAAGCCAATCACAAGAGGTCAAATACTATTTGGTTCCTCTCATTTGAAGAATATAAAGCAATCAAAAAACAAGGGATTGGGATTATAGCTCAGTGGTAGAGCACTTGCCTAGCATGTGTGAAGCACTGGGTTCAATTCTCAGTACTACATATAAATAAATAAAATAAATGTCCATCAACAACTAAAAAAATTTTTTTAAATTGTAAAAATGAAGTATAAGGTGGTTGCCAAGGGCTGTGGGGAAAGAGAAGGGAGCATTAGTGCTTAATGGGTATAGAGTTTTAATTTTGCAAGATTGAAAAGTTTGAGATATTTTGTTCAACAATGTAAATGTATTTAAAACTACTGAACTGTGCACTGAAAATGGTGAAGACTGTAAATTTAATGGTGTGTTTTTTAACCATGCGTTAAAAAAAAATCACCTAGGTAATTCTCTGATGATAGCTTGGTTTTGGAGATTGCCAATAACAGATTAAGGATATGGGAAAACTCCTGTCCCCTTCTCCTCTTCCTGCTTTACTACCTCTCCTACCCCACTGGTCTTAATATGTAAAATACTAAAACATGTGAGTGAAAGTAGACTACAGAACAATTTTAACATCTTCCTGACTTTGCATTTTCATCTTTCTCAGATTGAAAAGCTAAAACAACAACTGGCTGAGACGAAAGAAAAAGCTCAAGAGGAGAAGGAAAAATTAGTGAGTATTTATATATACTAATACTTCTTTTGCTAAGTAGTCAGGTTTTTAGTGAGCTTAGATATTTAAGACCTGATAAGTGGAAAAGTTTAAAGCCTACATACTTAAACTCAAAAAGAACATATTATAGGCAAGGTGTGGCAGCATATACCTATAATTCCAGAGGCTGGGGTAGGAGAATTTCAAGTGTGAGATCAACCTCAGCAACTTAGTGAGGCCCTAAGGACTTAGAGAAACCCTGTCTCAAAATAAAACATTAAAAAAAGGCTGGGGATGTGGTTAAGAACCCTTGGATTCAATTCCTAGCACCAATGATAATAATAATTACAACAATAACAACATATTATGAAATTTTTATTATAGAAAACTTAGAAAATTATCTGGTATTAGGGGTGCTTACTGATCCTACTTGTATTGCTCCTGGTGCTTTTCAGTAGACAAGCTAAGAAATACATATTTGCCCGTACTAATATTTTCCGTTCAGTTGCAGGAATATAGGATTTTTACTTAACTTTACCTGCATCTCGTTTCTCCCTTGCCAAAGCCCTGCCTTTTTTTTTTTAAAGATATAGAGAGAATTTTTAAAATATTTTTTAGTTTTCGGTGGACACAACATCTTTTTTTGAATGTGGTGCTGAGGATCAAACCCGGGCCGTACGCATGCCAGGCGAGCGTGCTACCACTTGAGCCACATCCCCAGCCCCAAAGTCCTGCTTTTTAATGATGTCAGCATAATTACCACATTGCTTAGAACTTAATGCATTTACAATCTCAGAATATTTATGCTACCACCAACAATAGATTATTGGAACCAGTTTTAGATTTTAGGGGTGGCATTTTCTCTGTAGGATATATACCAATAAGAATGCATGACCAAAATTGCAAGGTTTAAAAACTATGTGAAGTTCCTTTCTTTAAGGTTATGCCACCAACTCATCGAACTCAAGAATAGATTTTACTTTCAATTTTTTTTTTTTTAAACTGGGGATTGAACCCCCCTGGGGTGC